AGAAGAATGCTCCTTACATTGGTGGTCAGTGGAAAGAAGAATGCTCCTTACATTGGTGGTCAGTGGAAAGAAGAATGCTCCTTACATTGGTGGTCAGTGGAAAGAAGAATGCTCCTTACATTGGTGGTCAGTGGAAAGAAGAATGCTCCTTACATTGGTGGTCAGTGGAAAGAAGAATGCTCCTTACATTGGTGGTCAGTGGAAAGAAGAATGCTCCTTACATTGGTGGTCAGTGGGAAGAATGCTCCTTACATTGGTGGTCAGTGGGAAGAATGTTCCTTATATTAGTGGTAAGAGGAATGCTCCTTACATTGGTGGTCAGTGGGAAGAATGCTCCTTACATTGGTGGTCAGTGGGAAGAATGCTCCTTACATTGGTGTTCAGTGGGAAGAATGCTCCTTACATTAGTGGTCATTGGGAAGAATGCTCCTTACATTGGTGATCAGTGGGAAGAATGCTCCTTACATTATTGGTCAGTAAGAGGAATGCTCCTTACATCGGTGGTCAGTAAGAGGAATGCTCCTTACATTGGTGGTTAGTAAGAGGAATGCTCCTTACATTGGTGGTCAGTGAGCATGGAGGAGGTTCCTTCTACTGGCACTGGTTTTATGTGCTTAAGGCACTCTGTGGAAGAAATCCCCTGTGACACCACTGCCAATATATGGACTAATACCCGCATGTCTGGTGTGCTGGACTAGTTAGTTCTCAGAGGGGAGCAACACACTTTTTAAATGTGTTTTACATAAAAAAGGGCCAGTGAACCCTCCTAGTCCTGAAACTGGAAACAAACACAATGTCAGCACCAAGGAGAGCTACTATCACCTGCAGGGTAAAATCTATTCTATACTTCTACTGTCCAAGTAAGATTCAACAGCTGTTTATTGGGTTGTACACAGGGTGAATATGATTGTGGAATACTGTTGAGTATCAGCTTGGCAAATCTTAGTTCAGGTCTCACTGGGTGAATTTCCTAGTGAATCCTTCATAAATACACCTGAATTTGAGTTAAGTTACTAACGTACTTTACTAACGTGCTCCAGCCAAAGGCCAAACTCCTAAAGGCCATTTGCTGTGAAGAGCTGTAAACATTTATACAATGCCTGATGTTATCATGGAAAAAAGACAGGAAGATCTTCAAAAAAGATCCAGGATATTGTAGTAGATAATGTACAAGGTGATTGAATGGGGAATCATGGAACACAGGACTAAAGGTACAAAGCATTAAAGTATAATAGACATGCATTAGCATTTTAATTATAGATATATATAACTTACTGCCGGGAGCTGTCTCTCATATTAGCATATTAATATATAATGCAGAAACGCCCCCGCTGGGAGTCATTTGAATGTAGCTAAGAATAATGAATAGATAAAGAGGAAGCCTGCCACTTGTTCCTCACGATTGGAGGAAGATCCTTTGGCTTGAGTAGACAATATTTTTAAATAAGCATTTAGAACACTTCACCAGGCATTTCTAAAACAATTTTCACCATCTGTTATTGTTCATTTGGTGAGAAAACAGGCAAAAATGAACATTCTGAGGGGGTTATTCACAAAGCTACCAAAGGCAGCCGAGTGAATAACCCAGCAAAAGTGAAGTGAGCCGAATAACATTCGGTTATTGACTTCTGGCTTGTAAGAAGCCGTACATCGTCTGCCTTCAGCTTTGCATGTTCAGCTGAGCCGAAGTGCAGAAGGACTTCGACTCAGCCGATCCAACATGTGGATCGGCTAAGCTGAAGCTCCGGCAGCTCACTCACTGCCAGTTCGCCCCTATTCCCCTTAGGGGCTGAACGGCAGTGAGTGAATAGCCGAATGCCGCCAAGCAGCATTCGGCTCAGCTATGCTGCTCGGTACCTCCGTGGTAGCGAAGCGAGCAGAATAGCAAATCAATGAAAAAAGTAAGAAGAAAAGGTTGAAAAAAAGATGTTTAAAATGTAAATAAATAGTTAAATAAAAAAATTAAGATTTTTAAAAAAAGAAAAAAAAAACCAATTGCGCGGAGCTAGCAGTGACATTTAGCTCAGCCCAACTGTTTCCTATTGGCTGGCACCTCCTATTGTCAATGAATAACAATGGGGCGGAGCCGACCTGGGGACGCTGATCTGTCTCCGCCCAGCTGTCATTTACCGGGCGAAAGGCTGAAGAGAGCCGAAAGATCAGCTGAAGCTACGACTGGATCCTTCTGCTCCTTTGTGAATAGCCCCCTTAGTATTGTTTCCTTTCAGGTCAAATGTAATGTAATACCACATTATGGCCACTAGATCGAGCTGAGGAGCATAGCAAATAAATGCTTGTAGCCTAGTCTCCTCAGCTCCATCTAGTGGCCATAGTCCGGTATTTCATTACATTGGTCCTGAAAAGAAAATATGCTTTAAACCTATTTTTTTGCCTCTATTCACACAGAACAGGCGTTAACAGAGATTCTCGGAGCCAATGGTTTTTACAGATTATCTATAAAAAAGACCCGTTAAAATGTATGTAAACCCTAAAAATGTGCATATCCTTTTTTCTCCCTGTTTGGTCTGTTTTATCCATTATAAATATGTAGTTATATACAGTATGTTCAAAAAGTGCTAAAAATTCCTGTTGATCCTGCCTTGTGATAGTTATAGCTGTATATATTTTATATGTCATTACCATGACCCACCACCAAACAAAAAGCAAAATAAATTATCCTACTCCTGACGTTAACAGCAATGCCACATATGTGTGCGTCGTTTGCTGTTTGTACCCGTAGTAGGGCTCAGAAACTATAGTGCACATTTTGCTTATTCCTTTTATTTATCGTACCTATACACACTGATACTAAGGGGGCTATTTATAAACAATTCAAAGAGCCATCCATCCTGCGAATCTCTGTGAACATCCGTTTTGCACAAATGGAGGCAAACACGAATCTCCTTAGTATATTTTCTTTTCAGGTCGAATGTCATTTTTGGAAAATACTGCATTATGGCCACTAGATGGAGTTGGGATAGCATAGGAAATACATATTTATATTTTTTCCCCGTATAAGAACAATAGTACAGGGGTGGTTTTATATTCGCAGTGAGCACTGTGATTGGCAATGTGCGCTCCCACCACAAACACAAGCCTGCTCCTGTGATGCCGCATATATATGTGATACTAACAGGAACAGGTTAAAGGGTTATTAAACCCTCACATTTTTTTGCATATATCTATGGCTAGCAAGCAGTAGATATATGCAAAAACTTGAAAATAAAAAAAACCCTTGTGAAACAGGTTTAAACTTACCTGCGTCTTCGCCGTGTGCTCCCATCCAAACATCTGAAGAGTCTCGGGCGGCCGCAGAGGATCTTGGGGTGAGCGCATGCGTACTTTAGATGTTTGGCCAGGAGACGAGGAGAGACACAAGGTAAGTCTATGGAGCAGCGTGCCACCGCACAGACACCGTGGGAATGAGAGAAGAGGAGGACAGAGGAGTCAACGCTGGATTGGAGACCCGCACCAGCGCCG